GGTTAGGGTGGGAAGCAGGTTCTATCAGAATCTCTGGTCCCTCCTCCAATTCCTGATCTCCCAGGAGATCTGGTAGTTCTCTCAGCTGAGGACTCCCACCTGAGTCCTTCCTGCTATGATTTTGGTTCCCTTTCATGTCCTCCCCTATGTTTCCAAGTGATCTTCTCCCTCAGCTGCCCCTCCTTGGGAGCCACCACCACCAGGCATGCCCCTTACCTTCTCCCTCCCATTGCCAGACCTCTCCTGGCCTGCAGTTCTTCATCTGGTGTACCCTTGTGGTGCTTCTCTCTTTCCTAGCACCCTTCTGGTCCTTCCTTTAGTCTCCCAGCTGCGTATTCACCCAGCTGACGGTTTGGCTAAGAGTCCATTTTTATATCTGAGGGCAGGACTGTCCCACTCCCTTCCTCAGAGTGGGAGGAGCCCACTATTAAACATTGCTAAGCTTTGAGGTCTCTCTTCTCTTAGACTCAAAGTCCTCTGGCTCACAGCCTCTCAGCCCTGCAGCATTGTGGACGTGGAGGTATGACCCTCTGGGGTGGGGTGGGGTGGGGTGGGATGGGAGATAAGAGGTTGAAGACTCAAAGCCATGGAAAAAGAGGGTGGGAACAGTCAGCTGACTTTGAGGTTCTGATGAGGATTGTGTGTCTGTTTCAGTTTCTCCCTGTGTATCACCCCAGCCCGGAGGAGAGCAGGGACCCCACCCTCTATGCCAACAATGTCCAGAGGGTCATGGCACAGTGAGTGTCCCACAGGGTTTCCTGGAACAGGTACACAGAGCAAAGGAACCACAAGAGGGGACAGAAGGGTGAGGTTTGAGATGAAGACAGGGGTGTGGGCAGTGGAAGGGCATTTAGACAGCTTAGACTGAGGAGGAAAAAGTTCATGGGGCCTGAACTATTCCTAGTGACCAGACCAGGGTCACTGATCAGCCCTCAATAGTCTCTTCTGTTTCACTCTCCCTCCATTCCTTTTTCCTCCTGTAGGGCGCTGGGCATTCCAGCCACCGAATGTGAGTTTGTAGGGAGCTTGCCGGTGATTGTGGTGGGCCGGCTGAAGGTGGCGCTGGAGCCGCAGCTCTGGGAACTGGGAAAGGTGCTTCGGAAGGCTGGGTGAGTGGCCTTGAAAACAAGGATACAAGCGGTGTCATTTGGAAGGAATAAGAAGAAAGGGTAGAGATGGGAACGGTTAAAAAGGAAAAAAGGGACAAGGAACTCAAAAATAATGGAGCAAAGGGGAACAGAAGGGAAGGGGGAAGAAGAAACTGAACGATATGTAATAGTGCAGGTGAAAAAACTAAGCAGACTTCTTAAGGGACCGAGTCAGTACATCTAAGGATAACAGTAGCTGAGCCTATGCTGGAAGAACTCTTGGTGTTGGGGTCAAGGTCCTGCTGCATGGTGTGTCCAAAAGAAACTGAGCAGGCTGCCTTTAACTGTTCCCTTGTAGGCTGTCCCCTGGCTGTGTTGATGCTGGGGCAGAGCCAGGCCGGAGTCGAATGATCAGCCAGGAGGAGTTTGCCAGACAGCTGCGGCTCTCCGATCCTCAGACAGTAGCTGGTGCCTTTAGCTACTTCCAGCAGGTAAAGAGATGGAATGCAGAGGGAGAACTCAGGGCTTGTCTCTGTCTAGTGACCATTATCACTGAATACCCAGTTTGGAGTGTATACCAGATGTCCTAGCTATTGTCAGATGCCCATCTTCTGAGAGCCATTGGGAGATTCACACTGTATTGAGTATCTAGAATACTGAAGAGCAGTATGTTAATCATGAGGAAGAGTAAGATAGAAATAATTAGTGAGGTCCATACATTCCTGGAGCCATTTTAGAGACTAGCAAAAATGGGGAGTCATTTGACCTTGTGGGCAGAGTATAGTCTTTGAAGAAGAGTCCTAGGGGTTATGTGAAAAGATGAAGATTCTTAATATGTGTATGAACAACTAACAGTGGTCCCAAGAAGGTTTTTTGTTATGTTCTTTTGTGAGAGATTTTTGCTATAGGGCATGTGCACTCGCCAAAGAGACAGAAAGCGAGAAATCACCCTCTGGGGGGATAGCCATGCTGCAATCCCTTCCCCTCCATTATCCTGTCGGGATTATGGGTAAGCACACACACACACACCCAGTGTTGAGTTTTAAGCCACCAGGTCTGGACTCAAACCATTGGTTGACCATGTGGAAGTCCAGCGACGTAACCATTATGCCATATGCTGGTCGCCCAAGGAGCTCTTTTTTGTCTAAGATGTGTACTGTGGATCTCAATATCCTCTGAGAGGACAGAGTGACCAGGTGTGTAGATTCCTTAGATGGGGACACATTGTCCCCAAAAGGAACTTTCTCCACTTTGCCTGCAACCAAGCAGAACCCCAAGACCAAATGCCTTCATTCCCCTTTAGAGCTGGCACACCAGATATGCCTCTTGGATTTTTTATGCCAATGGCCCCCTTTCAATCTGTTGGACCAGTTTTCCCACACAGACTGAGTCAGAGGAGAACCAGTTTGTCCAGCTTGGGGGCCAGGAATGCTCTCTAGTGGCCTGACAGAAACTTGGTGGTAACTTCAGCATCCCTGAGGGATTCCCTAACAGTCCTAGGCAGTCTTTCTATGAGAAATCTTTTCACCAGACAACTTAGAGTAGCTTGAGCAAAATATCAGGGATCACTCCCCTGCCCACTGACAAGAGGGAAGAGCCGAAATCCAGAAAGTAGGAAGGCCACAGGGTCCCCACATTACCCTGGTTTCTGTTTTACTCTCCAGGATGCCAGGGGTTTGGTGGACTTCCGAGATGTGGCGCTTGCACTAGCAGCTCTGGACGGGGGCAGGAACCTAGAGGAGCTGACTTGCCTGGCTTTTGAGGTACCAGAGGGTTGGGAATGTGGCTGTGGCTGGTAGTTGTGATCACCCCACACCATGAGGTCTATCTGGTATTACAATACCTCTTTTTTTTTTTTTTTGAAAGCAAGACAGATTTTTGTTATAAGGTGTTCGTGCTCCCTAGAGAGACAGACAAAAAGCAAGAAATTACCCCCTTTCACAGTCCCTTCTCTTCCTCCATTCTCTTGGGATCTTGGGCACACACGCATGCGCGCGTGTGCGCGCGCACACACACACACACACACACACACACACAACGTGAGTTTTAAACTGCCAGGTTCAGGACTCAAAGCACGGTCAGCTATACGGAAGGCCAGAAACGTAACCATTACGATGCCATCTGTTGTTCCCACTGTTCTAGTAGCTTTACTGCTAAATAGTAGGTTCTCGGAACTCATTCAGTGCCTTCCTGTCCCAAACTGCAGAGCCCTAGGATCTCTATGTTGAGGCCTGGAATAGGAAGCAGGCAGAAAATGTAGGGGTTACAGTTCTGCAGAAAGAGCCCTGGGGCCAGGAGGCCTGTGTACCACACTTTGGAAGAGAAGGAGTCTGCCAGGCTGACGTGTGGGGCAGCAGTGTGAAGACAGAGCTTGACTTGGGTCCCTTTCTCTCTTAAGCTTTTTGCTGAAGAACAAGCAGAGGGGTCCGGCCGCCTGCTGTACAAAGACGGCTTCAGCACCATCCTGCACCTGCTGCTGGGATCACCCCACCCTGCCACTGCGACTTTGCATGCTGAGCTGTGCCAGGCAGGACCCAGCCAAGGCCTCTCCCTCTGTGAGTCACTCACTGTCTGCCCAGCCCCACAGGGGCACCACTGGGGAAAAAAAAAAAAATAAGAGTTAGTGGCCAGGGCTGGTGATCAAACTTGTCAGAGGTGAGTCTGGGAGAAACAGGCTAGAAAGGAAGAGAGGATATAAACCCGGATGTAAGAAGTTAAACTTAGAGATTAAGGGCAGGAAAGAGT